CGCTTTCCTCGGTTTTCCAGGTGCGCTTGCTGGCTGAGCCTTCCCCTCCAGGTAGTATCGCGGCTATTAGAGGGGTCGAAATGCACTGTGACGCTGCAACGCCTGCCCGCCCGGCGCCCCGTGCGTGGCTCGGGCTGCTTAGGTTGGTTTATGGGGTCAGCCACAATTATCCCACGCAGTTGAGCCCCAACCAACCGCCGCCACAGATCTGGACCGTGCGCGAGCTGTCGCGTTTCTGTTGCCGCCTGGCCTGGCTTTCCTAAGCAGCAATCATCAAGCGAACCTACGGTTCCTCCAAACGCCCAGCACCAAGCACCAACACCGGTTGCTTCATTGGGAACTATTTTTGCTCGACGAGCACCCCCACCTCCTGCGGCCTGGTCGCCAGCGTCTTGAACTATCCAGTGATATTAACGAGACCACACTTGGCCGAGATCCCCGCTCTGGGCGCCATTCGAGATGGTGAGTCCGTTATGGCCCGTTATGGCTGATATATCAACTCTGCGAGTCGACGCCCGACCTCGAGCTAACATGGTTTGTTGGATAGGGACAAAATCAGTCGGGAATGGGCGGAGGCCAAGGTGATGGCAAGGATGACAAGGATAAGAAGGTACGACATGCATCGGCATCATCTGGCAGCGTCATTTGCCCTGCAGATTCTGATCATAGTCCTTTCAACCGCCGTGACCTGATAAAACTACACCCTCCATTACCCTAGCTTGCCACTACACTGGCATGTCTCTGCCGCTAACCACGCTTCTGCCCGTGTACAGAAGGAGAAGCCCAAGTACGAGCCCCCGCCGCGGCCGACGACGCGCATCGGCCGCAAGAAGAGAAAGGGAGGCGGCACCAGCGCCGCGGCCAAGCTCCCGACCGTCTTCCCGACTAGCCGGTGCAAGTTGAGGCTCCTGCGGATGCAACGCACACATGATCACCTGCTGTTAGAGGAGGAATACGTCGAGAACCAGGAGCGCCTGCGCAGGGCCAAGGCAGCCAAGGACAACAATGCGGCGCCGAGCTCGGACGTCGACGCCGGGGACCGGAACGCTGATGAGCGTGGTCGGGTAGACGACATGCGCGGCAGCCCCATGGGCGTCGGCACGCTCGAGGAGATGATCGACGACGACCACGCCATTGTTTCTAGCACTACTGGGCCGGAGTACTACGTCAGCATCATGAGCTTCGTCGACAAAGACCTGCTGGAGCCCGGCGCAAGCGTGCTGCTGCATCACAAGAGCGTCAGCATCGTTGGTGTCTTGACCGACGATGCTGATCCTCTGGTCAGCGTCATGAAGCTGGACAAGGCGCCGACGGAGTCGTATGCCGACATTGGTGGGTTGGAGCAACAGATCCAGGAAGTGCGCGAGTCTGTCGAGCTGCCGCTCCTCCACCCGGAGCTCTACGAGGAGATGGGAATCAAGCCGCCCAAGGGTGTCATTCTCTACGGCGCGCCAGGCACAGGAAAGACGCTGCTCGCCAAGGCGGTGGCCAACCAGACGTCGGCCACTTTCCTACGCATCGTGGGCAGTGAGCTGATTCAGAAGTATCTCGGTGATGGCCCCCGGCTGGTGCGCCAGCTCTTCCAGGTAAGCAATCATAGTCTCAGCGGGCCCAGGCTTTCTTGTCGTCCGGGACCTCGATGCTAAAGTCAACCAACCTCCAGGTCGCCGCCGAAAACGCGCCCTCGATCGTGTTCATCGACGAGATCGATGCAATCGGTACCAAACGATACGACTCCACCTCGGGCGGTGAACGCGAGGTTCAGCGAACCATGTTGGAGCTTCTCAACCAGCTTGACGGGTTCGACGACCGCGGTGACGTCAAGGTGATCATGGCGACCAACAAGATCGAGACGCTCGACCCGGCGTTGATCCGGCCCGGCCGTATCGACCGCAAGATTCTGTTCGAGAACCCGGACCAGAACACCAAGCGGAAGATCTTCACGTTGCACACGTCCAAGATGTCGCTGAATGAGGATGTGGACCTGGAGGAGTTCATCGCGCAGAAGGACGACCTCTCGGGCGCCGACATCAAGGCGATCTGCTCCGAGGCCGGACTCATGGCGCTGCGTGAACGCAGAATGCGTGTGCAGATGGCCGACTTCCGCGCCGCTCGTGAGAGGGTGTTGCGGACGAAGCAGGAGGGCGAGCCTGAAGGACTGTATCTGTAATGTATTACTACACCTTTTGATGACGACCCGCAACTACCAGCTGCATTTTGGAGAGGGTAGGGTTTAGAGAGAAGCGATACATTGACAATGCCGTAATTGGTTTCTCCATGGATGTGTCCCCTCGCTGGCTTGATCCGAGGCGTCTGAGGAGCCAATGGGTTCTGTTTGGTTTTGGCTTCCTTGTCAGCTGCACGTTGTGAACATGGCCAAGGATATCACGGCAGCAGCATGGGCACCCAACCATGTTCGGCTGCTGGGCTTCTTTTTTTTTTTTTTTTTTTTGTGGTGTGGTGATAAAACCAGGACACCGTCTGCCATTTCAAGGTTGCAATCAAAATGCAGGTCCACGGTGTCAGCACCTTGGCTCCTGTAATTTCACTCGCACCGCTGCCTAACCTTTTAGTGGACGGTGTCCAATCATGACGCCTGTTTCGTACTTTGGAGCGATCAGGCGGCCAATAGCGCTAGGAGATCTCTTACCTAGCCGAGCCTGGCGGCACCTCCCCACGATGATCTGGCTCATTTCGTCGATTATGATGGGGGTTGCACGCTCTTCCATCCTCTAGCCAGGATGACTTGGACTGGGGAGAAAATTCGGCGGCGTCAGGCTCGCTGGGGCATGTAAGGGTCGGGCTAGCATGGATGTTGGTTGGCTCTCTTCTTACGGCGCATTCTTGACGGCCCGACTAGGGGCAATTTCACGCTGGGTGTGGACCACGATGGGCTGCCAACCATCAGGAGGGATGCAGAAGGTAGGTATTTAAGACGCGGCCAAGATCCGTTGGTTGCCCTCCATCCCATAGGCGCGCCCTGTTGTCTCGAGGTCCTGGTCCATTTGTCACTCCCTTCCTTTACAGTGACACGGACGTTGCATTCTTTCGAACAATCCCTTTCTCTCTCTCTCTCACTCTCGGTCACTTTCCGCCAACAAACGAACATGCCGGGCTCGCTACGCCCCCTGCGACGGGCCGCCGCACGCCTTGCTGCCGTTGCATTCGTTGCGGCCCTTGCGCTGTCACCCGCCGCCGTCCATGCGCAGACGGACGACTTGGCCGCAGTGCTGTCCAAGCAGCAGAACGTGTCGACTTACACCAGCCTGTTGAGCAAATACCCCAAGATCTTTGAGAATCTCCCGAGCTCTGGCGTAACAGTGAGTGGTACCCGTACACGCATCTTTTCTGGGGCTTATAACTAATACGGGGCCTTTTCACACACCGCGCTGCAGATCCTCGTCCCTACCGATGCCGCCTTTGTCAAGTTCCAGTCGTGGGACCGCGGCGATGCCGCGTACGCGGAAAAGCTGCTGCAGTACCACATGCTGCAGGGAAAAGTGTCCATCGGCAGCATACGGGAGGGCAGCTCCATCTTTGTGCCGACGCTGCTGACCGACTCCAAGTACACCAACGTGTCGGGCGGCGCCGAGATGATCATCAACCGCCAGCGCGACACGTCCGTCTTCATCTCGGGCCTGGCCACGCGGGCCACGCTGGTGGGCAGCCCGGACGTGCCCTTCAAGGGCGGCGCCGTGCAGCTGATCGACTCGGTACTGGCCATGCCGGCGCGGTTTGAGAGGACGGCGCGCGAGTCGTTCAACGGCGACATCGACTCGTTCCTCGGCGCCCTGTACGCGGCGGGCGTCCTGACCGAGTTCGCCGACGGCGCCAACCTGACCGTGTTCGCGCCGCGCAACGCCGCCATGGCCCGCGTGGGCGGCGCCCTGCAGGCCATGTCGCGCGAGCAGCTGGCCCGCGTGCTGCGCCACCACCTGGTACCCGGGCGCGTGCTGCACGGCACCGACCTGCGCAACGGCACCGAGATCTCTCCGGCGGCGGGGGCGGGGGCGGGGGCCCTGCGCGTGACGCTGCACAACAACGACATCTTCATCGGCGCCGCAAAGGTCGCGTCGACAAACTTCCTCGTCGCGAACGGCATCGTGCACCTGCTCGACGACGTCCTCAACCCGGACGCCGCCGCCGACGCCCGCGTCAACGTCACGGCCGAGTCGCGCCCGCCCCTATTCAGCGCCACGGGCGCCGACGCCGCACCTACGGGGGCCGGTGCGGTGCTGCCCTTTCACCACCGCGCTGCCGTGCGTCACCGCCTGTCCGACCCCGGG